GAGGGACAGTGCAGGAGGGGAAGACCCTCTATGAGGTAGATTGAATCAGTGACTGGGGCAATCAGGATGGGTGTGTCAGAGGCAATGCGATTGGAACAGGATAGAGCAGGGTTTAGGGCTATTGTATATAGGGTCGCTATGAATCACAAACGACTCCACGGCACATAATAACAACAACAACAAGCAGGACAGGTGCGGGGGACAGTGCCTTGAAAACAAGAGGTCAGGAAGGCTGTGGCTGGCCTCACAGTTGTATGCTGCCACCTGCTAGTAATCTATAGGCTAGAAGAGAACTTCTCCATAGGGTATCTAACACTGCAACCTTACAATAGCAGACTGTCATGTCTGTTGTTTCAAATGTCTGTTGCCTCTGCAGAGGCCAGGGGTCTCAACTGTAGACTGTCTGGTTAGTAGGCAAACCCTTAAGAACTGTGGCATCAGGAATCCTTTTGTTATTGTAAAGTGATGTTATTTTTCTGTTAATGTCATTCACCAAGTCTGACACATGCTGAACTGGTATACAACAGAATGACATGTTATCTTAGATCCTTTGTCATCCTTAAAAGTCCACAATGGGGCAACTATATTTTAAACACTAGTGACATGGTTTCTATCACAATAGCAACACAAAGTCAACAGAGTACAACAAATTGACAGACAGTGGTGACAAGTAAATCAGGTTTACTGGGTCCAATTTTTAAATAACAAATAATCATCCCTTTTAAGAAAGAAATACTATCATATAAATCCAAACGTAATTGAAACACAGATGTTTCATCAGTCTCCAAAAGGTCATTCTATGACAGCCCTGTCCCTCACCTTCAGCCTCTGACAATCACTACTATTTTCTGTCCTGTACTTTTGTCTTCCCCCAAATGACATATGAACAGACCTCTACCATATTTAGCATTTCATTGGTCTGACATCTTCACTTGCATGGACACCGTAATGCATGTTTATGTGTGCATCAATAGTCTCTTTTATTCTTAATAAATAGTGTGTTTTTATTAATATCATTTTCTTTTATCACTCAACTATTAAAATAAGTTGAAGACAAAATTGTCACCACTGATCGGCTAGAGCAAAAAGCAGACTCAAAAAAGAAGGAAAAAGAAGAAAAACTAAGAATAATGTGGGACAATATCAAGAAATATAACATGTGCATCATTGGAATCCCAGAAATGGAAGAAGCAAGTAAAGGCACTGAAAAAGTGGTGGAAGAATTACTAGAGGAAAACTTCCCAGACATAATGAAGAATGAGAGAATATATATTCAGGAAGCTCAGCGAACACCATATAGATTCGACGCCAAAA